ATATAAAAATCTAAACTTATCATAATGAAAAGCAGACCTAAGGAGCGGGCAACTATCCAATCTTCACTCAAATGGAGTTATTTCCCTTCGTTAACTACTTCAAACGGTGTAGCTACCTCGGCCCTTATTTCCCTTAAGGCACTAAAGATAGATGCTTAACCTTTCCCGTGTTCAGGCGATGGGGACTTATTTTATTTTATGAATTCATGATTTGATACTCGACTACACTACAACTCCCGTTAGGAGATGAAGGCTGCTCTGTTATGTTAACAATCTAAACTTGTATTGAAATTCATAGAATTGAGTATGACTGGTTAACCACATTGAATTATGATTACAAGTTTTAGAAACACGGCAAGCCAAGTTCGCAATCTTTGCAAAACGTGTTAGAATTGCAAACTAGACTGATTTCTTTGACAGAAGGAGGGCGTGAGTTGTTGTGTGGCCAAAGCACGGTTAAATGTACAAAACTAACATGCGGTGGTTTTGTGTTACACAATTAACATGTTTATACGTGTTATAATATAAATATACTGATTGCACCACATGATACATGACGATGTAAATGTTAAACCGAACAATTACACGCATGGAGATGAAACCCACTATGGATTTTATGGGATGGCCTGCCTTATTTATATATTTGTTTTTTTCTTTCGGCACCCACCCGTGGGGATGGATGGGTGACTTATCCATATTGCTAGGCTTCTGGTCACTCGCCAACAAACACGAAGTTGGCCTGTGTAGTAGTGGGGTGTACCCATGTCCCACTAAGCAAAAGCCTGGGAGGGGATTATATTATGGGCCCCACGCCATTGGGATTTCTTGTGGGCCCAACATCAAATGTGGATTTTGCTTAAGGGCCCCACATTACACTATAGAGAGAGAGAGAGAGAGAGAGAGAGAGAGAGAGAGAGAGAGAGAGAGAGAGAGAGAGAGAGAGAGAGAGAGAGAGAGAGAGAGAGAGAGAGAGAGAGAGAGAGAGAGAGAGAGAGAGAGAGAGAGAGAGAGAGAGAGAGAGAGAGAGAGAGAGAGAGAGAGAGAGAGAGAGAGAGAGAGAGAGAGAGAGAGAGAGAGAGAGAGAGAGAGAGAGAGAGAGAGAGAGAGAGAGAGAGAGAGAGAGAGAGAGAGAGAGAGAGAGAGAGAGAGAGAGAGAGAGAGAGAGAGAGAGAGAGAGAGAGAGAGAGAGAGAGAGAGAGAGAGAGAGAGAGAGAGAGAGAGAGAGAGAGAGAGAGAGAGAGAGAGAGAGAGAGAGAGAGAGAGAGAGAGAGAGAGAGAGAGAGAGAGAGAGAGAGAGAGAGAGAGAGAGAGAGAGAGAGAGAGAGAGAGAGAGAGAGAGAGAGAGAGAGAGAGAGAGAGAGAGAGAGAGAGAGAGAGAGAGAGAGAGAGAGAGAGAGAGAGAGAGAGGGCTCATTGAGCGTGGGGTGACTCCACTAAGCGTATATTTGTTTGTGGAACACCCACTCTTTGACACTACGTTTTCCTAAGCTTCCTCATCATCTTCCTCCCCATCCCATGTTTTTTTTCCTTTTTCTTTCCTTTCTTTATTATTATGTGCATTATGATTTCTTTCATGCCATCTCTCAAATGACCAAATGACCCACTTGCCTTCAAGCTATGCTAAAACGCTAAAAGCCTTTGGCTTTTGTTTTTGCTTGCACGAGTTCCATTTTAAATTTAGACAACCATTAGGGAACTTAAAACAATATGGTTGCAAAGAGAAATGCTAAAGACACCAAACAAGTTTTCAAACTTTGAGATCTTATTCTATTTTAAAACATATACGAATTCAGAGACGGAATTAGAAATTTATCACTACGGAAGTACAACAATGAAGCTTATAAGATTAAATATGAACAAGTGAACATCATTCTCCTTTACCTTTACTTTATAGAATGTCTTTTGAGACATCTTATCAAACACCTTGTCCCTGCACTTAAAAAACCTCAATAACATTGGGGGTCAAATAGCATATTCAATTGACCCGCATATAAAAATTTTGGTGACGTTTTTTCCTTAAAAGCTGCAAGCCACCGCTATGTGCCACATGTCTGTCCATGAGGATTTGTTGGAACAATGCTCGAAGCCCATGTCTTATTGCTTGAATGGAGTTCTCATGTTAAGTGAAGTTTTTAATAGTCAGAAAGCAAATACCAAAGAGAGGAAAAGAAGGATACAAGTTATAATGCTATAGCTTGTGCAAGCGTTACACGTTAAGTATCATTTTTCATGATTTTTATTGCCCTAATCTCGATCTGTTTTTTGTCCATTTGAGATTATATAAGTCGTTAAAAGCGGAACATATTGCCTCTAATTATTTTTTCATTGCCTTTTTTATTTATTATTATTTATAGTACAAATGATATTCTACTTTAATCTAATCTAAACTACGGAGGAGGGGGATTCGAACTCGAGTGCATATCCGCTCTAACTAACTTGACTAAAATCATGTTTGTATTGCCTTTGAAGGCTACAATTTAGATTTTAGCTTGAAAAAGCAGAATGGTCATAACCTTAGTTGAGAGACAAGGGTCACAGACAACACAAGATGATTAAATGAAAACCCATGAGGCGTTGTGGTCTTTGTTCATTGTAAGGGCGGCTCACAGTGATATATTTAGTTTAGGGCTTTTTATTTGTTTTGGTTGAATTAATATTAAAAACGTAGCCAAAGGTAATTAGTCTACCTTTTAGTTGCTGTCTTTGTGAAGTAAGTAAGTCAATGGCTTGGCTTGCTTTCATATAGTCTAATAGATTGTGGTTGGCTCCCCACACCAAGTCAAAGCTTTTTCAAATTTCTATACATTTTCCATGGAAAAAATACTAATCCCCACACCAAGTCAAAGCTTTTTCAAATTTCTATACATTTTCCATGGAAAAAATACTAAGGTCAACATATACAAACGTTTATATTTACAAGAGTCTAGTAGATAATGATCATTTGTGTCGTGGCATTTCATTATGTTCAAGTTACTCTGCAATTTTATACTAGGGTTTTGTGTCTTTTAGATATTTACATGGAGAAGAGATCAACCTTTTAGGTTAGCTGGTGGTGGCAACTTAGATTATAGCTAGGAGGAAGACAGAGACCAGTAACATGGGAAACCCTAAATTTGGTTCCAAGAGCAAGACAAAAGATATAAGATTATGCAAATGGGATAATATTCTTAGATTTGTCAATTCAAAGTTAATGAGAAATGACACACAATTGCTATTAATCTACGTACAAATCCACCAAAACAAAACATTAAAAAATAAAGGAAGGAAGCAAGCAGGCCCATTTATATCATCATCACGACTCTTGTTGGTTTGCATTTGGCCTTCCCAATTTAAAATTGTCTTTTTCATTTTGGGTCACTAACACATTGAGTGATGAAGGCGTGCTTGGTGTTGGTGCTCCCCACTATTACCAGGAAAATCTCTCTCTCTCTCTCTCTCTCTCTCTCTCTCTCTCTCTGTGCAAGCAAAATACCTTTCTTCTTTTTCCCCCGATTGGAATTTCCTTGAAAACAAAATGGGATTGAGGACAAAACCCAGTGTCAATTTTCAACCTTTTATCATTTTTGGTAATATGGGTTGCTCACCATGTAGTTGTCGTAAAAAGGGCAATGCACTCGAGTGACATGCCGTCACATTGTCTTGCACACGTGCTCTTTCTTAGTTGCTGGAAGATGACCTACAAATGATGTCAATCTGATAAGCTTTTTTATTTTATTTTCTTCAAGGTTTTATTACCAAGTGGCTGAGTGAGTGTAGAATAATTGTACATCATACAATGTATACATGCTCTTGAGTTGAGAGATTATAATTACTAAAGAGAACTCAAACAAAGCGTTAGTGTTAGTGAAGAAGAGGGACCAAAACTCAAATTGGCTTCCTTCCTTCCTTCCGTGATATGGACGGAAGCCTGCATTGGATTTTCAGTGGTAGAAAAAATAAGGTTATAGTGATCCAGGCCTGCATAAAAAAGAAAACCTGTGGCCTCAGTCACACCCGCTTGCTCAATTAATAATATCACACCTTTTTATTTTATTTTTCCTGTTAATTGTTTAATCCCGAAAACAGTGTAATAACATGTTTAATGTTGAATTTTTTTAAAAAATAAGCAGGTCTAATTTCTTGGATGAATAAGTATTTATCTCAGATAAGATATGTCTGGTCTGTATACATTGGATGTGTGTTTTGTGTGTTGTGACCTATGAGCCACTCATCGAAATCAAACCTTGTTTTCTCCAGTTTTTGCCCTTTGGAAGAAACCAACACAGAACAGTTTTTTGATTTTAAAATATTTTACCATAGATGAGATCAGATTTTACCTTTATTTTTATGAATTTGAAACATCACATTTTGCAGCTGAAACAATTTGAAACATGTCCTAGTGAAGCCCTTTGTTGTAAATGTGGTAGGTCAAGATGATAGAAAGTGGCTATTGTTCATCTCTTAATTATACTTTGAAAGATAATGCCAATAACATGTTCTCGAAATTAGCTGTTTGAGAATCCGTATCACACTGCAAAGAAATAGCAGAAACGTCGATCGATAACCCATGATCCATGCGGACTTTAGTCCAATGTCAATAACCGGTTACACTTTAAGATTTTCTCGAAATTAGCCGATTGCAGAAAGATGATCCATGCGGACTTCAAACCAATGCCATGACCCATATCATGGCTTTAATCCAATGCTATGGCCCATTCCCAAGTAGGCGTTGTAATTGTTTTAGGGCTACCTAAGCCAGTAAATTACCCAGCCCACTGTCGTAAATTACCAAATGCAATTAACTTAATGATTTCTTTAACCTTAATAAAAGACGATCAATTCAATAGGCGTAGAACCTTAACATTGCATATGAAGTCGGAAGTATCAATCCCGTATTTTGCTTCAACAAACTCATTTCCTTTTTCCAAAACAAACCATCCACATAACATTTGTGTACCTCAAATTTGAAAGGCCAACATATTCCATAAAAGACCAAATTGCTTTATTTTAAGAGAATCATATAAAAACTTACCACTAGAAACATCCATCCATATAAAGATTTACTACATGCCTTGCCTCTGCCACTAACTAAAAGAGCTCACACCCATAACTTTTTTCACCTGGGTCGGGATTAAACCCCACCAAAACCAATATACATAAAGCAGCAACAGCGAGTTAAGTCACCAGCCCTCATTCATAAAAACAAAAACAAAATTTAAGTGAAAAAACCTTGAAATATGCAAACCTGAGGAGTTAATCAAAACAACAATATAGTAGTATTCCTCTCCTGATTTCAACAAAAAAACTGTTGCTACCATAACATAATACTACATAAAACATTGTCGGAAACAACCACCAACAACGGAATTCAGTTTAAGCTACTGCAACTGGAGGAGCCTCTATGTTGACTGCCGCCACTGGTGGAACTGGAAGATATTGTTCTTCCTTGGGAGAGTGGATGGTCACCAAATCAGGCAATGGGGTCATTGGTCCCTGCTTGCCCTTAGGATCCCAGTCGAGCATGATCTTCACCTTAATACCAAGCACACCCTGTCGTATTCCCAAGAAGAAAAAAAAAATCACTTAATTAACCATACTAGTCAAAAGGAAAAAAAAAATACTGAACCCTTCGGCTAATACAAAATAGCAGTTTGAAAGAAGGTAACCTGTCTAAGAAGAACATGTCGCACAGCAGAGTCAATATATTCATTGACGGGCTGACCAGATGATATCATGTAGCCATCCTTAAACTTCATTGACTTGGCACGCTGTGCCCTGAGCTTTCCACTCACAATAACCTATGTCAAGACAAAAATTAGTTTTTCCCGAACCATCCTAAGTCCTATGAGAAAGAACTAAGGTTTCCAAATGGAAAAACAAGGAATCTTATGGCATACCTCACAACCCTTTGCCCCACTCTCCATGACAAATCTCAGCACACCATAGCAAGCCCTAAAAGAATGAAAAAACTTTAGCTTTAACACATAACATTATCATATAAATAAATGTAAGTACACCCTAGTGCAGCAATTCAGGTAGATGCAGGAGAATATTCCAAACTCCAAGAACCTTGAGATTAGCACAAGAAGCCTGACAAACTCCACCCGGGGTTATATTTGAGCATTGATTCGAAATCAACCCCAAGTCTTATGCAGAAACGGCATAAAGGGAAATGGAAACAATGCTCATGCCCCACATAATGTGTTACAAAACGTGAGATGGAAAACCATTAAATGATGAAAAATTTACCATCCAGTGATCATATAGCCAGGAGTGAACATACATATCAATCCTAAGCTAACATAGATGGAATGAGCAACTATAGTCATCCTCAGACACGAGTTCGGCACTTCATACATGTACATCATAAGCCTATTCGCTGAAAAGATGACTTCGACTGACATGAATTCCGAATTTAAACAAATAAAGAAAAAAACGAAAAATGGAATTGGACCTGCGAACAGCGAGGCCTCCAAGGAGCTTGTAACGGAGAGACTCAGCCTGAGCAATGGCGCAGAGACCCCTGTTGTTCACCTTCTCAGCGTATAGCTCAACGCTGTTCTCAGGGAACTTGAACCGCTTCTGAACTATGGATGTCAGCTCCCTAATCCTCCTACCCTTCTCGCCTATTCGATATATACATACACATATATTAATCAAATGAATACAAAATTATCAAATTTAATTGTAATTAATTTGATTGATAAACAGAATTATAGATCGTAGATTAGAATTACCGAGAACGTTCTGAGTACGAGTGGCTCTGATGATGATCTCAGTGCGAACAGGGGTAACCCTGACTTCGACGCCAGAGTAGCCATCCTCAGCCAGCTCTCTGGTCAAAACCTCATTCAGCTCGGCGAAGAAGACTCCGTCGGCCACAAACTATCAATTGCATAAACAAATCTACGATTAATTTATCATTTTTATGTATAATCATTTCAGATTTTAGATTTGATTGGCTAATTATTTAACTAATTCGGGGGAGTTTGTGTGTGTTTACCTTTCGCTTCTTGCTCATCTGGGTTGCCATGTTGTGAAATCGGAGGAGATGAGAGTATCCAAGACTGAGCTTCGGCGCTTTCGGCGTTTGCTTGCACAAAACCCTAATTGCTTCAGCAGAGGCGTTGCTGGATCCGAATATGTTTACTATATAAAGGGGCGGAGGAGGAGCCTGATCCGACGGTCCATTTACAAGGATAAGATCGTAATCTGCCACACTTTCTGGAACCCATTAATTTAGCCCATCATCGATTTCTTTTTTGCTCTTTGGGCGGAATAGGTGGGCTTAGCCCAAAAAGTAATTACATCATTTCTCAGTCATTGATGGAATTTGGAAGTCACTTGCGCACGTAATCGATCGACTGTCTCTAACTGTCATCTTCCTAGAAGAGCTTAAACTCATCAAGGAGTTGCATTGTTTTTTTATTTATTTGATCTTTGAACTCTATAATAACAATATAGATTAAATTATATATTTGAAGAATTATTTCGACACTCGAATAGAATCTTTGCTACGCATATTGATCTTCTATCTTCAAATGAGGCAATTACAAGCTCACAACCACCATTTTGAGGCACATAGGTGCTGCTCCATTCTATTCTAACCTATTTATTATTCTCAGTGACACACAATAACTGAATAAATATGGCGGTCGTCATTGAACAGGCGGACTAGTTGCTTGGTTGCAAGTTGATTTCCCTTTCTGTTTAGTGAAAACTGTAGTGCACCGCGATCGAATACTAGAAGTCTGAATGGTACAAGCAAACTAGGCTCGAATGAGTTATGGGAGTCCGGCAGAGGGGGCATTCAGGCTTTTCATTGCACCACTCCATAATGCAACTCCTGCAAACAGATCATGTTAAACCTGAGAGAAAGGGAGGGCCGGAGTAATGAAAATGCAAAGGGACAGTACCAGCAAAATACGTGGCCGCAAGGTGTGGCTGTTGGGTGTTGCCGATTACTCAAACAGAGTGTGCATTTGCTCATCCCACTGGCCTGAGACTAAAAGGAGGGGAAAAAAAAAAGTTTGATTCAGTCATTTAAATTATTTCGAAGAGATCACATCCACTTAGATGTACAAATAGGCGAGTGACACTTTTGCTGGATCGACCCATTCACAGAGTCACACTGCAGAAGTCATAATGTATAAAAAGTAGTACAAAAGCCTCAAAAGAGGAAAAGAGTTCAGTGTCATGATTGGAATATACACCTCTGAAGTCGATGAATCAGAGACCCAACTTCCCTTGGCAGCGTCTGCTGATATCAAATGACCTTCCTCATTTAACACAGGCAAATCTCGACCTACAAACCCATAAACAAAGGTGGCAGATTGTAATTGTAGTTACTAATTGACAAAGGGAAACTGGTCTTTAATATACAATCATGAAGAATGCTTCTGTGATTGCCCTATGGGCTTAACTTATTTACTCTTACACCATATGACTGGTTTTACTTGATAGGTTGCAAGTTCTGTTGCTTCATGTGAAGACCATAAATATAAATTGGTAAGAACATACTGACCTCCAGAAGTTTGATGTGTACCAAAAGTCTGATGAGCTGAACCTGCAATAGAAGATAAATTACTCCGCCTCAGTCCTTCAGCAGCTATAATACAGAGCTGAATCAACAGGAATACGCCCAGAATTTGGTATCTGCATGGAAGCCAACAAAATAAGTCTGCATTTTATAGATAAAGAATCGCTATACAATTGCCAAATGATGTTCTGAAGCAAATGGAGGGAAAAAGCAAGAGCAGAACAAGGGCATTGACAATAAAGAAGAACAGAGAAAATTGCAAACAGATCGCAATAAGACTCAATGAAATGCACATCTTAGACATGCTCAATCTGTGGAAATTAAATTTTAGAATAAGATTGCGGACAATTTCAATCCTTTTAATCATAAAATGCGAAAAAAATACAGTCACAGGAACACTAAGACAAGTTCATGTAATGTTATACATCCCAGGAGAGGGAGCTAGTGGAGATGAGAAACCTAAGTGTTTTTGCATAGAAAATCGGCATGAAAAAATATGTTGATACTGGAAGTTCAGAGTAATCAGCAGCTGATATACCATTCTTACATAAGTGGCTAATTGAAATTCCATTGTAACATACAATCCTTACCTAGGCCTTTGGTTAGATGGTTTTCCAATGAACACATAACGAATGCCTGCTGTACGTTTTGATATATGATAATAGAGGCCTGCAGAGAATCAATAATAGCAAGAAAATTAGTTTCTCTCCCAAATCTTCACCAGAACTTTCACTTCAATGCATGAGCTTCTAAATGCAGGAATCACCTTCAAAGTAAAAGAACATGAGGTTAGCACGAATAACCAATTGCAAAAATTCACGAGCTATAGGAAGCACCTGGAGGGACCAGCATCATAGAGATATTAACTACAAAAGGGATTCAACCCAGGTTATCTGATCACCAATCAAAGCTAGTGACATTCAAAGATTGAAAAACAAGATAACAAAAATCCTAACCCGCAATCAATTTATAAGTAAAAATAAGAGGTGGTTAAGTATACCGTAGGCCATCTGCGAACTAAAGAAAGCCATAATCCGTTGAATTTCTCTTTTAAACTTCTGATAGCTGAAACAGATGCGCCTGATGTAGAGGCAGTTGAAGTAGGGGTGACTGAAGAAGACTGAACTTCATTGCTCAATGAAGCATTATTGCCATAGAGCTCATCGGAATCAGCAAGTACTATGCCACGGTTAGCAGCTCTAGAACTGCGTAAAGTGAATTCGAAAAATATACATGAGTAAGCTCACAGTTTGCTGAATAGATGAGTACAAATGAAAAAAATAATTAAAAGAAAAGGCCAGGTGGGGGAGCTGGGACCTAATTCGTTCTGCAATATAAGGAAGTGCCGTCTGGTACAAAATGAAAAGTGCTCGCCTTGCTGGGGTTGGAGGCAAACCATAAGGCCCTGCAACCTAAAAACACAAGTATCAAGCATCAACTACACAAGTAACAAAGGAATTTCAAATTTGAGATAAATCAGAAGCTAAATGGATAAACCTGAGTGATGTCGCAGTACTCTTCCCCAAGAGTTTGCTGGCCTGACCCTGTTGTCAAAACGTAATAAAGCACTTGCCCAAGAAGCTTTGTCTGCCAAAAACAAGAAAGAGAGAAAATTAACTCTATGGATGGAACTAGTTATTCATATCCCAATTCACAGTGGCTGAAGTTGAAAACTTTGAAAAGGGCCCAACCTCGTTCTGGTAAGCTACAGCAGTTCTTGTACCCAAGAGGTGGCGGACGGCATCGCGGCACGCGTCGTAGACGAAGGAGGCGTACTGGTCGTCCTTTTCGGCTGCTCTCATGATCTCCGGCTGAGCCGCCAGTGGGAACCGCCGCGCCGCCCCAGGGTCGCTGCTACTGGGACCCGCTTCTCCTCCGCTCGGCCCAGCTTGCTGCCCCGACCCGGTTGCCTCGTTCCAACCCATGCTTTGTTCACTGTTTTTCTTTTTTTGGCCGAATTATGTTTTCAAGTTAGTAATTACAACTCCAATTTGGTAAACCTAAAGATTGAGACTTGAAATTTCAGTGTGCAGATACAAAGAGAGAGACAGAAAGAAAGACTCGGAAGAGTTTTTTGGTTGCTCGAGGAAGAGAGAGAAGAGGACACAGGAAAAGGATAAATTCCAATACGACGTCGTTTTACCGTAAAATGAGCAGCCAAAATGGCAATTTTTTTAAAAAAGCGCCGTTGCCGGGGATCGAACCCGGGTCACCCGCGTGACAGGCGGGAATACTTACCACTATACTACAACGACTTGGTTGTTTACATTTCCACAGAACATTATATTTAACGACAAACATTTATGTTACACGACGACAGCAAGAGTTTGCCAGATAACAAACCTCTGGTAGGAAAACAAAGGCGAGCCTTATCTCCCACCGAACAAAACTCCAAAATGCATTGGCAACATTTAAACAGAAAAGGAAAAAAACGCTGACCTTGATGCTAATTATACCTTATGCCAATGGCTGTGTCATCTTCCACCTCTACCATACACATTGCGCAGAAAAGCTTTCCTATTAATCCAACGCCTAAAAATGGTTGTATATTCTCTTCAAACTCCATAAGGTTTGCTTCAAAACCGCGCAGGTTTTGCATCATTAGAAGCTCCAGTGATGTATCGGCAGAGACTGCCACGACTGAAGCCGATTCACAAAGCTCCATTGAAGTTCCACAAGAACCGCCTTCTCTGATTTCTGCTCTTAATGTGGAACGAGCACTTCGCGGCATACGTACGTAGAGTGTTGAGTTGTTGATCATCCATTCATGTTCGAATATTCAAGTTTTTTTTAGTTACCCTTTGAGCTTAATTGACCAAAAAAAGGTTTAGAATTTCAGCAATTACAGATGTAGATCACTATGGCAGGCTTGGACTTCGAAGAGGATGCTCGTACGATGAGGTCACAACTTAACCATTTTCTTCAAGCACCTAAATTCTTCTCCATGGTCTCTTTGTTTATGTGTTTCTGTTTAGGCATGCAGGTTTCGGTTGCGTACAAAGCCAAGCTTGATGAGCTAAAGAACCAGGGATTAGATGAAGAGGAGCTGAACAAGAATCTGGTGCCTTTGAAAGTCAGTTTTAGTCCAGTTTATTTTGTGTATGTTTTTATTTTTCAAAAACAAAATATCTCATCTGCTTATTGAAATTTTGTATGTGTATGCATAGGAGTCGTATACAATCTTGTCATCTGGGGATGAGCGAAGACTATACGATTGGAGCCTGGCCAGAAGCGAAAAACCAGACACGTATGTTTGGCCTTATGAGGTTGAGAAAACGAGACCGGCAGAAGGAACTCCACCACCAGTACAGGTACTTGCTAATCTTTTTAATCTTGGTCAGGGTTTTTCTTAAGTTAATTTCTTTATGGTTTTGTTTTGATTCTTGAAAGTCCGGCTTTAGTTTCTGTTCTTCAAGTTCAGTTCAGACTAGGGTTTTATATGAATAATGGATAGGAGCACTTATTGCAGGAACCAGATGATCCAGGGCCGACAAGATTGGTGGGATACTTCATATTGGGATGGTTCATATTGTCCATCATATTATCCATAGCCCTTAATCGATAGAACAAGTTTATTGCAACTTGCATTGCCTGTTAAATATTTTATCTG